CCACAGTGCCCGCCCCCCGGGTGGAAGGATTCAGGGCACCTAATCCTTGCAAACCAGTGCTTAGAAAGTAGTAGATGCTGGGGTTTGTGGGTGGCTCAGTCAGTTGAGCATCCGACTTCGGCTCAGGTCACGATCTCACGGTTCATGAGTTCGAGCCCCACATCAGGCTTTTCGCTGACAGCTCAGAGCCTGCTTGGAATTCTCTCTCTCCTCCCTCTCTCTGCCTCTCCCCCCACTCACGCCTGCGCTTTCTCTGTCTCCTCAAAATAAGTAAATAAACTAACAGAAAAGAAGGATGCTGAAGGAAAATTCGCCATTACTGCTGTCAGCATTCAGAGTATGGCAGCAGAGGTCCCTGGCCCCTGCCCTAGGGCCACACAGCAAACATTCAAACGTCCCTCGGCTGATGAACAGGCCGATGCAATGTGGCGGGTCCAGCCATAAGAAGGAATGGAGTTCTGGTACATGCCCCCATGTGGCTGAATCCGAGAATCATTGGGCCGAGGTGACAAGGCAGACACAGTATATATACCGAATGCTCGTATTTCTTTCAAATTCTAGAAAATGCAAACTAATCTAGAGCGGAGCCGATCGGTGGCTGTTTCGGGGTGGGGTGGGAGGCAGGGAGGGATGACCAAGGCCCAGGAAGCTTGGTCATGGTGGCGGGCACACAGGTGTCACCACCAGTCACCAGTTCACACGCTTTTCGCTTGTCGTACGTCAGGGACCGCTGGTAAAGCTCTCAAAAGAAAATGTGTAGATTATGGAAGGATCCAGTCAAAAATCACCCGGTTGAAGCACGCGCGGTCTGTATCGGTAATAAAGCTGTAGAAAAAGTAGAAAACGAACCTGTTATCATCTTATAGTTAGATTTTTTGGGGGGGGAGGGGCGGAGAGGGAATCTCTCTTTTTTTAATGTTTAAGAGAGAGTACACGCATGTGTGCACACACAAGGAAGAGAGGGGTGGAGAGAGAGAGAATCCCGAGCAGGCTCCACGCTCAGTGCAGAGCGCAACGAGGGGCTCGACCCCACAACCCTGGGATCACGACCTGACAAGAGTCAGACACCCGAGCCATCCGGGCGCCCGTAGGCTGATCGTATTTCTAGAGGTGATTTAGGCGCCCGTGGTTTACCTTGGGTCAAAGGAAGTTAGTCCACAGCTGGTGTCCTGATGGTGTAACAGACGACACCCGTTCCTTCCAGAAAAGCATATCAAAAGGGAACATTTTCTCCCTTCATTTTTTTTTTTTTT